GAAAGTTAGTTTGAATAAAATGTTGGAGCAGTAAAAACACCAACAAATTCAAATGTTTAAAACCTAACAGGCCCATCTATAAAACCCTGTCATAGAAAGTGAGGTTACATTGGAAAAAACACTTTTCCCCGTTGAAGTAAGTGTTGATGTTGATATATTAAATTTAAAGCACTGGCTTGTCTCTTCAAAAGAATTTATGATACTGAGATATTACCAACTGACTGACTTAAGTCCACATTTATCACAATACCAAAGAAACGTCGTGCAAATCATCATCATCATCAATGGTTCTACAGCCGTATGAAAGAGCCTCGACCTTCCCAAGTCTATTACGCCAGGCAGTTCTATCCAGTTCTATCTTTCTACCATCATCATCTACACCATCCTCATCTACACCATCCTTCCATCTGAGTTTTGGCCTACCCCTTTTATACTTCACACGGGTTGTGATATAAGAATTCTTCTAGGAGGGTTGTTCTGCTGTGATCTTGCTAGATCCTGCCCATCTTAGTCTTCCAATTCTTATAAGAGATACTACGTCTTTACCACCAAATATTTGTTTATATCTGTGGTATACGTCGTAGTTGTATCTCCTTCTCGAAACACCATTTTCACAGGTGCCACCAAATATTCCTCTCCGGATCCTTCGTTCAAATATAAGCAGAAGGTCTTCGTCTGCCTTGGAGATGGTCCATGTCTCCGATCCATATGTCAACACTGGCTGTAAAAGGGTTTTTTATATGGTTATTTTTGTTTTTTGGCTTAAATTTCTACTTCCATATGTCTACTCAGTCCAAAATAGCATCTGTTTGCCATTATTATCCTTCGCTTGATTTCTTCCGTTATGGCGTTCTCTTTGGTGATCAGGGAGCCTAAGTATGTGAATTTGTCCACCACTTCAAAGGTAGAGTTATCAACCGTGAATTGGGGACCGATGTCAGTGACTCTATTGTTGGGTGTTGATGCCATTATCTTAGTTTTCTCCTCATTTACTGACAGGCCCATAGACTTTGAGGCATTTGAGAAGGTGGTGTACATTTCTTCTAGCTTGAGTGTTGTGTGGGCAACTAGATCCACATCATCTGCATATGCCAAAATTTGGGATGATTTATTAAAAATATTTCCTCTGTTGTCTATTCGGGCATCATTGATCGCCTTTTCCAGTGCTATGTTGAAAAGGAGACACGCCAGCGCGTCTTCCTGTCGCAACATGTGTTCCAAACGCCTGTGATTGTTTGTCCTGTATTTCGACTTTGCAAACCACATTACGCATTGTAGCCTTAACCAATCTTATCAGTTTATCGGGGATGTGGAATTCATTCATGGCTTTATACAATTTAATTCTTAGGACACTATCATAGGCAGATTTGAAGTCTACAAAAAGATGGTATGTATCGATATTGAATTCATTGGTTTTTTTCCAGTATTTGCCTTAGCACAAAGATCTGATCTATTGTTGATCGACCAGGCCTGAAGCCACTTTGATATTCCCCGAGAAGTTCCTCTGAATATGCACTTAGGCGACCATATAAGATCCTCGAAAATATTTTGTATGCTGTATTATAGAGGGTTATTCCGCTATAGTTTCTACATTCCAATTGGTCACCCTTTTTGTGTAGCGGGCAAACGATTCCAAAATACACCACTCTTCCGGGATTTGTTCCTCATTCCAGGCTCTCAGTATTAATATATATATTTGATTAGTCACAGTAGCACCTTCACATTTAATAAGTTCCGCGGGTATACCATCACTTCCTTGAGATTTCTTGTTTTTTGAGTGTTCTATTGCATCTCGTACTTCTTGAATTGACGGAGGCTCTAATGGTGAATTGTTGCTGGCTCCTGCGGGTGGTTGATTTGGATCTGGATCTTCTACTCTATAGTAAGTAGTTCTTTAAAGTGTTCCACCCACCTTTTCAGTACTTCTTCTTTTGTATTTAGTAAATGCCCCTCCTTATCCTTACATAGTCTGATCCTTGGTTTGAATTCCTTTCGTGCATTATTTAGAGTTTTGTAGAATTTTCTTGTTTGGTTTTCCTTTTTTAATACCTCAAGTTCTTCCAATATTCTATTTTCGTGAGTTCGCTTTTTTCTTTTATGAATGCACTTCTCTTCTTTTCTGAGATATTTATATTTTTGCTGTTTTTCTCAGGTTCTTATTTGCTGCATCAGTTTATATGCATCGTTCTTTCTTTTTGTAATGTCCTCACACTCAGCATCAAACCAGTCACTACGTGGTGGTGGTCTTTCTGGCCCTAGAATATTATTTGCTGCATCTTTAATGTTATTTTTACACATTTCCCATTGTTCACTAACTGTTAGGCTCTCATGAATTATGTGTTTAGTTTCGATATAGTTTTGAAACCTTTCTACTGTTTGCGGATTTTTGAGGAGTTCAATATTGAGACGCGTTATTTTGGTACTTCTCTCCTTTTTCGCATTTGAGATTCTAGCTCGAATTCGTGTGCCAACTAGGAAGTGATCTAAATCAATATTGGCGCCTCGATAGGTGCAGACATCCATTAGATTTGAGAAGTGTCTAGCATCTATGATTACATGATCAATTTGGTTGTTCGTTAGTCTATCAGGTGAGCTCCAAGTCCACATATGAATTTTTTCTGTAGAAAACATGTGCTTCCTATGATAATGTTCTTTGAGGCTGCGAAGGTGACTGCTCGGTGTCCATTCAAATTGGTATCATTATGGAGACTATATCTACCGATGTGCGGTAGATATATTTCTTCCCTTCAGATTTTTGCGTTCAGATCACCGATTACTATTTTAATGTCATTTCTGGGACAACTGCCATATGTTCTTTCTAATTCCTCATAGAAATTGTCCTTTTCTTCGTCTTCCTTTTACACCGTCTTTTACACAAGCTAGCACTTTCTAACAAAACAATCGTTAAATAGGCCCATCTATCTTCGATAAACATTTTTTTAAATTTACAGGTTTAATATTGCCTTATCATACCATCTGTTTATTCTATATAATCCGTTTAAAGAATTAACCAAAAAATATCTTTTTATAGATAGATGGATAGATTTAGTAAGGAGGCCTTCTAGCCTATTCCACTGCGACCTTTTCAGATCTATTGTAGATAATATTGTTTAGCCCAACCTTTTTTAACCTTCCATGTAGCTATTTACCGGTGGATTTTCTCCTCCTAATGCCAAGAACCGCACATTTGCCAGACTGCCACACTGATATAATATGTGCTCTGCTGTTTTTTAGCTTTAGGTGCCTATTCAGCTTCCAGTGCCCTGTTAGGAGACATACTACGGTTTTGACTGTTTTCCTGTCTTTGCTAATTAAGTCTGCCGTACATTTTTTCCAATGTTCTGTAATAAACTGTTTCCTGTCTTTGTTCTGGTGAATTCCTTCACCATTTCAGAAATTTGTGAGCTACCCACTTCCTTGTAGCCATTCTTGTTACTGTATTTGCAACGCCGCAGAAGGGTTCCGGTCCAATGAATGCCATTAATGAGCCTTGTTTGGCCATTTCATATGCTTTTTTATTGCCCTTATGACCTTCGTACCCGATAGGTTTCCTAGTTTATTAAGGGCACATATAAAATCCCATACTAGTTTAGAATTGACCTCTATAGAATTGAGAGCCTTAAGCAATGCCTGACTAGCTGTGAAGATGGCAACTGAATGGAACGTTCTTTCCTGTTTTTCTATTTTTTCCACGCATTGTCGTTATTTCCACCTGGAAAACTGTCACATTTCTTAGATATACTTACCGGGAAATGTATTCCTTGATTTGTCGCTACTATGCTTATTTGTTTATTTTGTTTAACTGTTTTTTTTTCTTTATTTTTAATAATACACAAGCCAAAAGGGACCAACCAGCCGTATTCTAGATGGTACGTAGACAATTTCTTTCCTTTCTTATTGCCACATTTATGGTGTTTAGTATGGTAATTAGAAAATAAAAGTGAATAGAAAAATAGTAAATCTGGCAGCATTGCAGGCCTCAAATTTGAAATTTTCGTATTGCAGAATACAGTTCGGACCATCCATTGAATTGGGCGTCTGCAGACTTTTTGTCCACTCTGTATATTTACGACGTTATTAGAAAGTAGTTTAATTTTTTTAAGTTTTGTTAACTATGTTCTATCCCTAAATCTAATAGCTATTGACATTTAGATTTAAGTGTATACATTGCAACTTTGATTTACTGAAACAATATAGCGTGCCGTGGAAATTTTGGTTAACAGTGCTCAATTGGAGTAAAATTATACAGAGATAAAGAGAATTTCACCATTTTTAAGGACTGAACTTTAAAAAATCATTATTTTCGAGGAAATTTGCATCGTGGCAACATTGTGGCATAGTGAAATCGTCGAAACGTGTAAAATTTGCATAATATTTTTTAGTAGTGATTTATATCTTTTAAGAAGCATTTTCTATATACCGTAAAAGTCCTTGTAATAATATCTCCAAATTTTTAATATGACAGATTAGTTATTTGGATTTAAACAAGTTTTCGGAAATTTTTTAATTTACTGTTCAAATGTCTAACATTTTCTTTTTCTAAGCACCTTCTAGATAGTATTAGAAAACAAAAAAATATAAATGGGTAAAAAAATAAGAATACCACTTACTCACAATCAATTTATTCTAACACTAACGACCGGATTCGCATACTATAATTTGATATGCATCTTCAGGTCAAAGGTACTTACATGGTAAACTAAATGCTAAAAATATAATAATGTGTATTAGGGTGATGTCTAATTTAATTAAATCAAGTAAGTAAAAAAAAACACAAAAAGCATATATTACAAAGCCTAGAAAACCATAGTTACTGTAACAGGCAACTCTTTCCAGTAAAAGAAACACAGAAGAACAAAACTTAATTCTAATTCAGATATTGCCTACATTCGAAACAACTTTTATAAAAACAACATTTTTAACACATAATCTTGCAATATAATATGAGATTACTAAAATACTAAAATAAATAATATCACACATTGTATTAATACATATATTTATTTATCTGGTAACAATACATCAAGCGGTATTCTCTTAAATAAATTTTCATGCCTCTCGTAAACAACGGTTTTAACTATCTCTTCAATAACAGGTGTAAATTCTTCTATGAGCAATTTATAGTTGTCATTAAGAATCTGGTTACTTCTTTCCCTCAGCTCTATGTTGTCACCGAAAAGTCCATCGAACACTGCTACGTATTTACCGATTATAATCTTAAGGTCGATTTTTTTAATTGTCAAATATTCTACTCCTTTTCGGTGTACTCGGTCAAGATCTAATGAACCTGATGCCTTGATATTTGCTAAAAAATTAATAAATTTTATAAGTATAACAGTACGTTATTGTTATGCTTGTATTAGATAAGGCGGTTTATGTTGGGCTTTGAGTGGAAAGTATATAAATGTAGTTTTTTGTATAAATCGGTTCCCAAAATCACTAAAAATTATAATCCACTACGAAACTAAGTTCATGTATGATTGTGATGCCACCTACATAGGAAGAACATCTAGATCATTGTCTTCACACTCTCTAGAGCACACAAAAAGAGAAAATATTTCCACTTTATCTCAACATCTTAAAGAACATAACCACATCCTCAATATCCCAGAAGACGTATCACTTATCCATAATATCCCAAAAAAAAACTTTCTCAAACGAGACTCATACGAAGACCTAGGAATTATTAAAGAAAAACAGACACTATGTGTGAGTTTTGAAAGGCTTAACGTACGCTTAAGAAATTAATATTTTTTCTAAACATACTTCTGAAAATATCCTGAGTTTTAAAAATACTTCTGAAGTTTTGTCTGTTAATAATAATCCAAAATTTGAACAGCAACAAAACATATTGAAGACAAGAATATTCAAAAATACCATACCTAGTGATCTAGATAACAAAAACTTAATCATGGGACACCGGTACAGAATAGGTTCGAAGGATCCGTTGCTCAGTACTGATAGATTATGAGAGTATATTATACGGTTGTTGTGTACAGTAGATTCACAAGACAACCATAAACAGAGTTTAAACATAACACTTTAACAGTTTAACGATTTTATAGGCACGCACAAAAAAAGATGTTTTCGTTGGAAAGAAATTATTATCCTATACTCTCCGATACGTAACAATATCTATGGAATAAAACGGACCAATAATGGATGAGAGAACCAAAAAACAAATAAAGAGCTAGTAGTGTTGTATGTCATCTATATTGTCGTATGAGAGCTATATTGAAGAAAATTCAGGTCCCGAAATCCTATCAGAAGAAATAACGGCAGCGGTTAGATAAATGAAGGATGGAGAGGCGCCCTGACTTCATGAAAAGCCTGCAGAACTGCTAAAGCTGTTAAATGTAGAACAATTAAAAATAATAACTGAAATTAATGAATATCCGGAATACACTAGGTGCTTAAATCGAGTTCGTACCATTGCTCAAAAAACGAGGAGTAAAAGTTTGTGAAGACTATAGGATTATAAGCCTAATGAGTCATCTGCTGAAGCTGTTTTTAAAAGTCATTCACAAATGAATTTATCGAAATGTGAGGAACAAATTGTGCCTAATCAGTTTGGATTTGGGAACGCTGTTGGTACAAGGGAAGCCTATTTAGCATGCAGGTGTTATTTCAGAACTGTAGAGATGTCAGCTGTGATGTTTTTGCATGCCTTATTGACTACAAGAAAGGCTTTCGATAGACTCATGCATGAAAAAATGATGTAAGTGCTGAAGAGGCCAAGAATTGACGGAAGACATCTAAAAATAATAGCTAACCTGTGTTGTAATCAATCAGCGGTACTCCGAATAGATGGAGAACATACAGATCAGGTACAAATCTTAAGGGGAGTGAGACAGAAGTGCATAATTTTACCACTGATATTCAATCTGTACTCGCAGCACATTTTTAAAGAGACTCTAAAAGATATTGATAAAGGCATCTCAATAAATTGAGTCAAGCTAAATATCCTGCGGAATGCAGATGATGTAATAGTGTTTTCCAATACCATAGAAGGACTGCAAAATTTAATGAACAAAATAACAGAAACAAGTAGAACATATGGACTGGATACAGACATCCAAATGGATTCAGACCAAATAGAGCCACTACAGATAACATATTCATACTAAGAACGATACAAGAAAAAGCTTATGAATACGACATAGACCTATATAATATGTATATAGACTTTAAACAAGCTTTTGATAGTGTGAAAAGAGACAGAATGCTGGAAGACCTTTGTAATCTATGACGTTGCAGGGTTCAAAAGCCGCAGACAGAGTAGATGGAGAACTGACTTTCCCTGTTTAACATCAACATGGGAGTAAGACAGGGAGATGCCCTATCAACCATGCTATTCAACCTAGTTCTTGAGGCAGTCATCAGAAAAACCAATATAACCGGCCATATAAACTACCAAATCAGTACAAATTACTGCATATGCAGACGATGTAGCCATCATTAGTAGTAATAAGCCACGACTAATGGAAGTGTTCAAACAAATTGATCCTGAAGCAAGAAAAAGAGGTCTCAAAATAAACGAAGCAAAAACGAAGTATATGACAGTCAAAAGAATAACTGACAATGAAAATAATATCACAATAGACAACTATACTATCGAACGAGTGGATGCCTTTATATATCTCGGCACATAAATCAATCAGAAGAACTCCGTAAGTAGCGAAATTAATGCACGTATTTCCAGCGGGAATCGTACATACTATGCTAATAAAAGATTGATGACATCGAAATTATTAGACAAAAGAACCAAAATGACTATCTACAGAACACTGATTAGACCCGTAGTAACCTATGGATGTGAAACTTGGGTAATGACGAAAAAAGATGAAGCCCAACTCAGGACATTCGAGAGAAAAATACTGAGGAAAGTATATGGCCCGGTACAAGAGGAAGATGGCACATGGAGAACCAGGAGAAACGACGAGGTTAATGAGTTAAATGAAAGTTATGACATTGTAAGATTTGTGAAAAGTCAAAAAAAAGGAAGGCCCAGAACGAGATGGTTGGATGACGTGGAAGACGACCTGAAAACAATGAACATAAGACAATGGAGAAGAAGGGCACAAGAGAGATCTGAATGGAAGGACATAGCCAGACAGGCAAAGACCCATCCAGGGTTATGATGCCAAAAGAAGAAGACGATAGACACCAGTAAAACTAAGCTAATGTGAACCAAATGAGAATTTAACGTGTCTCATAGTACAACTGCTTGGGAACTACAATCAATGACTCGTGGGACAATACGAAAGAGATTAAATGTCGCATTGGAAGGCAAAAAGTGCATTCTTGACTATGAGCTCTGTGGTCAAGAGCCATGACCTCATCCTAGAAACAAAAATAAGGCTCCTTAAATGTTAGATGTACTCAGTGTTTCTGTACATAGTAGATTCGTGGACATTGAAGGTGAAAACTCTATCAAAACTTCAGGCTTTTGAGCTATGGTTAAACAGAAGGATCCTGAAGATACCGTGGATAGGAAGGTCTCCCAGAAGGAAGAAGTATATCCTGGGTTGCTAACCTGAGAACATGGTATACAAAGATCTCAATAGAGCTATTCCGTATAGCAACCAATAAAGTCATCACAGCCAGAATGATCGCCAACGTTCGGAACGGACCCTCAGAAGAAGTGCTGTATGATTACCCAATTACTACTTACAGTACAAATACTACAATAATTAAAACTCATGCACAAGAAACGCAAAGTGTTTCAAAATGTTCTTAATTAGAAAATTTTACACTTGCTGTAAAAATTCGCACAATATTAATAGTTTTTAAGAAAATCGTCGCACTATAACTGACATATTAAAGTATCTGAGGAAACATATTGCTAACGCACATTTTTATCCGTTAAAAATGTCTATAGAAAATTTGATATTAGAATTTGATAACAGAAATAAAAAAAAAACTTACTTATATTGCCTACGCCATGGCCATCCGAATCAAATTGTAATATTAGTATTTTTCCCTTCATTGTCATATCGGTATCTATTCCGAGCGAATCCCATTCAAGATTTAAATCCAAATGCATTTTCTTCATATCGTATTTAAGGTCGACCAAAGTAAAATTGTCGACATGGTACAATTTAATATTGCGCATACTAACTTTGATATGACTATCAGGCTCAAGCTCTGCTTTTTCAATTAGTAGTGGATCAAATTCGGGTATATAGAGCTCGGGAATACCTTTGGCTAGCCTAGGTTGGAGGTTCTTTATGTTTCTAGCCAGACACTCGCCTAATTTGGGATCATTTCGATTACATGGTTCCACGAAGGATGCTGAAATTGTGCAAAATAATTATAAATTAATACAGTTTTAATTCCTGATTTTATAAAAGTAAGCAATTTTCACGTCTGAAATAAAACCTTAGACCTAAAAATCGCCAGATTTATCGCTAATGTTAATATGTGTATAAATTTTTAAAATTATATTAAGTATATGAATTACGGGAAGTGTGACTATGTTGGACCCCTACTTATGACGGACCCCGGCTGTAATTTCGGGCTCGAAGTTAGGTGTAAACCCATGGTACAAGTAATAACAGGTATAATATTGTGCAGGCCACTGTCAGTAGATCCCCTACTCTTGACGTCACAATGAGAGTGGCTGTCATTGTAATATAAATATCTATGTAGATTTTATGGTGTTTTGTGAGATTTAAGTTGATTTGTAAGCTTTTTAGTGTAACAAAATTATTATTAGGAATATTTTGAACTTTTTATGCGATTTTAGAAGTGATAGTGGCTTTGTACTTTATATGGACAATATTTTTGTATTTTAGAAGTTATAAATAATGTATGTTTAGTTATTATTTAGTCAGTACTTAATATTCAACCATACTCATACCACTCCTGCATTTTTTAGGGACTTTCGCTGGAAATCATTTATAAGCTAAACATAAAATGCGTTGTGCAGTAGCTGTTTGTTTGAGTGATAATCAGACAAGAGATGCCTATAAATCTGGTAGGTTTCATGGTTTTTCCAAGGACTAGTGAAAAAACTGAGGGTCATTGATTGTTGCCGTGAAGATAAATTTAATACTAAAGGATTTGTTTCAAACAATTTTATGCCGGTAGACTTTAAAAGAAATTTGTAGCATATATTGCTGCAATATGAATCAAAGAAAGGACCTAAGCTGAAGAGTGATTCTGTTTCTTTTCTTCATCTGCCACAATCGAAAAGTTTATTAACAAATTAACTTAAAAGGCGGAAAGGCTTTCCAAAAAAGATATTAAACCTAATACTTAAAGAAAATATGGAAAATAAGAGAAAATTAAAGAAAATTGTAACTTAAAACCCTGTGTTTTATTTGTTCTGTCGATTTTATTACAGATAATTACTGATCAAATAGGTTCAGTCCAATTTGATAGAGGTGAGATCAATACCTGCCGTAGCTGAAACAAGTGGAAATGCAAATGAAAGTCCAAAACGTGGAAGGTGTAAAGACTGTGTGATGGGAAAAAGACAGAAAATCTCGTACAAGATGTCAAGCATGTAAGAGGCTTATTTGTCTGTATGATATATATATATAATTTTAATTGAATATAAAGTTTTATTATATTTTTTATAACAAAATAAAAATGTTTTTAGTTTTAATACATCGATAACATGAAACTGCAAAAGCTTCTACGAATTAATAAAAAAAAATTGGAATTTAATTCACAACAGGTATGAGTTTTATCCACTGGGTCCACCCGTACCTATAGACAAAGAATGTAACATTTACTTCGGGAGAGTAGGAAGGTTAAGGGGAAGATTTAAAATCACTCTCATTGTGACGTCGTGCGTCAACCTAACTTCGGACCTTGGCACTGGAAATTTGGGGGCCTATTCATTGCTATTCCGCCAAAAAAATATAAAAAACTAATAACAGAAAAACCGGCGAAATCAACAAAAAATATTAACAAAACCATAAAAAATCTGAACACGTAGTGCCCAAACCATTGAGCACCTAGTCTCCGAACCGGACTTAGTCCGGAGCAAAGACTTGAGGACCAAGTAAGCAATTTTAGTTTTGCGGATGTCACATGAAGATTACAGGAATAAAGCGACTAACGCTAGCCTAAATTTTTAATAGGATAGGGTACCATGTTGGAGTTCTATTACTCAGTTCGCCCACATGAAGAGCATTTGACTGATAATTCTGTCCTTATCGAAATGTGGGATGCAGCAGATGCTGTAGGAACTCCGTAGACATAGATAAAATAAATATTGAATATAGAGACAGCATTTCCAGATTATAGAAGATATGCCGGTCTTAAATGAATAATCATAAACATACTATAAATAAAAAACTCAGATATGGATCCATAGTAGACAAAAAATGAAGACTAATGCAATTATGGTAGTGTAATATTACTGAAGTTTTGAATTAAAGGTATATAGGGGTTTATCACCATATTAGACTATTTACTTTTGCGTCAATATTTTAGTAGATAAATCTTAGAATTAATAGAAATATCTTTACAAAACTATACTTACGTAAATGTTTTTTGCTCTCAACAATCAGAGCGACCAATAAAAACATGAAACACCTTCTCATCTTATTAAATTATTTATAACACCAATAACACATAAAATTTAACTCGATTTTGTACAAATTAATACTGCAAAAATCTCATAGGCTTTTGCCTATTTGTACGATTTGTAAAATCATTTAATAAACATAAAAAATACATTAAACCACAGATTTTATTACCATCCAGAAGAATATTTTGAAACGAACGTGGTAATTTCATATAAATGATTAAATTTTAAGTAGGTAATAGAATTGATAATGATTTTAAATTAATAAAATAAACTAATTAGGCTTTTTGTTTATGTATTATTTAAAAATCTTGTGTTTTGTTACATATTGATAAGATGTTTGTTTTGAATACAAATGCAAACATAGAGGGTGCGGCATTAATACGAGGAAGTCCATTACTCATTTAACTTAAAAATACGAAAAAAAATATGTATGTAGGTAAACCTTGGAGCATCTTCTTCTTCTTAAGGTGACTGTCTGTTCCGAACGTTGGCGATCATTCTGGTTATGATGACTTTCTTGGTTGCTATACGGAATAGCTGTGTTGAGGTCTTTTCTATACCATGCTCTCAGGTTAGCAAGCCAGGATATTCCTCTTTGTCCTGGGGCTCTTTTTCCTTCAATTTTACCTTGCAAAATGCATTGACGTAGCTTGTATCCTTCTGTATAACCATAGCTCAGATGTTTGAAGTTTTGATAGAGTTTCCGCCTTCAATATCCACGTTTCTAATTCACACAGAAGCACTGATTACACGTTACATTTACGGAGCCTTATTTTTGTTCCTAGAGTGAGGTCATGGCTCTTCAACACAGAGTGTATAGTCAAGAATGTACTTTTTGCCTTTCCGATGCGACATTTAATCTCTTGGGTATTATTCCACAACTCATTAATTATAGTTCTCAAGTAGTTCTACTGTGAGACACTCTCAATTCTCATTTGGCTCAGTTACAGATTTGCTGCAGTTATGTTTTCCTTGCTGATGATCATTAGCTTAGTTTTGCTGGTGTTTATATTCAGTTCATATGTTCTACTTGTTTCCGTTATTTTGTTCATTAAGTTTCAAAGCCCTTCTATTGTAATGGAAAACACTATTGTACCGTCTGCATATCGCAAGTTATTGAGATTGACTCCATTTATTGAGTCAAGCAATCAGTTGGAGCGTAGATGGGATTACACTTTAAAAATATTTTTAAAAATACAGAGAAACCCACATTGTCAAGGTGAAATAGAGTTATCTTTTTCTGACACTAGAAACACCAGCATTTTTGCATGTTCAAAAGCACCAGCGTGGTCAAAATGACGGGTATTAGAATTTTCTATCGCCAGCCGTTTTTGTATTGTTTTTAATTGAAAAAAAAAACTTTTTTAAGTTTATACCTACAAATAAAAGTTATATTTAGTTAGTTTAAACAAATTATTTAATTCTTTAAGCACAATATGGCAAATTTTACATGTTTTATTTTTATTGCAGTTCTCGTTTTGGCATTGCATACATTCAATATTTGACTGATTTGATATACTCCGGATATTCCGTCCATATTTAAATATTAAAAAAAAACTTGTAACGGCTATCTTCTTAAAACTGATTTGGTCGAATACTGTCTGACAAACTGATCTACAACTTCTACTCCGTATTTTGTGTGGTTGTAGTAGGTGATGGTTTCTGGTTTCTTTCTTTTATCTATGTCTATTTCAATATTATTTGAGTCTAGAGAACTCAGCACTGGAAAATTTTTGTTCGTTTTTCCCTGATTTTCGTTTTTTATTATCACCGGAATATCCGGCAGTCTTTCTTTCTCGGTTTATTGTTCCAACCATGTTGGTAGCCTTCTTTCGTAATTCTTGTGTCAACTTTACAGACGCAAAGAAATTATTCATGATGCCATTTCTTCGTGTATTTAGAAATAATTCCATTAGAGGGCTAGACACATGTTCCTCTAGCTAGAAGTTGATTGGCTGATCGTTGGTCATCTTCTCCCTGGTAAGGAGCTGCAAGCAGTAATTTAATTCCAAACTTATCGGATTTATTCGACATGTACTGAGTAATGTTCCAACCTGCCTTCGTGGGAAAACGTTGTTCGCCGATAGATATATTTGGACCAGTATGTCTAATATCATTCTAGACCATATCGCCATCAAAACCGATACAATCATTATCTATGCATCTGTTTCGAATGGTCTATAAAAAGGACCCATGTACCGACCCAGTATCTTTATGATAAATTTATACTGATAGTCAGCATACGCAAGGATAAATGTTTTAAGCTTCTAAAATGTCATTTATTTGTGTTGCTTTCTACTTCAGCAACAGTACATTGTTTTAGATTACAAAGTATGCGTTCAATAATCAATAGCGGCCATGCACTAGCTGTAAAATCTCGATGAATTCCTTTTAAGCATGAAGCATTGGTGCAGAGAAGTTTTCTTTAGAACATTTTACCCTGATACGTCTTCCTAAAATGAACGAAATATATTACTATGCAGTTATATACCCATAAAAATATAAAGTGAATACATAAATAGTAGCCACTAATATAATATAGTTGCTAACCAGGTGTACTAGCGCTGTTGTCATGTAACTCCATTCCGTGGTGTCAATGGTCCCTAACTTGCTTTCGCGAATTCCTCTTACTCAGTTGGTAATCGTTTCCTGAAGTGGTAGTAAGTTAAAGCAAAAGTACTCGGCAGCTGCTCTAACTCAACTTTATCTTCAGAATAGCTATGCGATGAATGTATTATCAACTTTATCATAATATACTCTAACTCTACTTCAGATCATTGTACTGTAAATACTTAAACAGTTCCGCTCTCAGTATCGACACATTATCACAGCGAAGGGAAAAATCGTGAAGAAAATCAAAATAGATTAAGTGTGTACTTCCAAAAGCACTCTTAAATAACTAATTATTTTGTATTTTATACAAAAAATAAGTAAAAATTGCCCAGAAAAGTAGAATAAGTCGTGATAAGGGCCGCATTTTTGTAGGTACATATCAACATATTAAAAAATATATGTATAGTATACAGGGTATCCAGAAACTGTCCTGACAAACAAAAATTGGAGATTTCTCAGATAATTTTAAGACGATTTAACACAATACACCTAGTCCGAAAATGCTTCCTAAGAGAGCTAGAGCTCTATGAAGATGTCCGCTTGTAAGTATTTTTTAAATACCTCCAGAACGCTTTATTTTGAAAAACGAAAACTGATTTTGATTGAAAAAAAGATTGAGGTGAATGAACTTATGTTCAGGCGCGTTTGGTCGTCTGGAAACGTTTTGAGTTAAAAAAAAAAAATAGGCCGACGCATTAATTTACGTCTCAAGTGCCAAATTTAAATTGATTATTATTTTTAACTGTTCACTTCGCGGACCACAGATTGAGAATCACCTGATATACATTTAGTTACTGCAAATGAGATCTTAACACTCGAGCATACGTCTGTCTAAAAGCAATTGAGCTTTTCAACTTATGCTTCAACTATCTCTTGCCCTAACTTACTCCATTAATTTGATACTAAATCTTTCACTTTCAACATGAACCAAGTCATAACGTATGTTTCCAAAAAATACAAAACAGGCGACATAATGATGTAACAACAGCACATGAAGATATTATTTTAATGGAATTTGAGGAAAATTTGGAAATTAGTGTTGAAAGTCTATCTGCTATGTATCCTATAATTCAAAATCTTACGCAGAAAATTATCTTATACACAACAAAGAATTGTACTGCTCAAATTTTTATTTTAAAAAGGTATAAGCACCGCTACAAGAAGATATTCCGAACGTAAAGATATTCTGCTATACGTTGTTTACTATGTACATAATTGCACATTATTATTCGTAAGTCGGTGATAATCTAACATTGTTCAAGAACTTAAGCATCAGCATAGGTTTAGCTTAAACGTGTGGATAGGAGTAGTTGACGATTATCTACTGGATCTGTGGAATTACCTGCTTGTTTAAATGGTGCTGATTATTTAAATTTCCTGTAAAATGTTTGACCTGTTTTTTAAACAATGTGCCTTTAAATATTCGGCAAAACTATGGTTTCTATATGATCCGGTCAACTGTAGCAGAAATGTACTTTCTTGATAATAAATATGAAGATCACTGGATTGGAAGAAGCGGTCCAGTTGCTTGGCCAGCAAGGTCGCCGGATTTGAATCCTTGCTATTATTGTATTTAAGGATATATAAAAGCATTTGTTTATTCTGTTATTTTGTACTTAAAGTAAGAGTACCTTTTTGTACTAGAATACCTGAAAATTTATTATTCTGGTACCACAGACGTTTAAAAGTTTAAGACAAAAAGCGTTAAATAACTAAAAATACATTATGCGTTAAAATAACCATTGACTCACCCAAAACGGAGGCCTATGAACGGTACTGGAAATTGGAAATTAATAGAAATCTACTCTACTCCAATAAAGGATAAATAATCGTACCGGCTTTTCGTTTTTCTAATAGAACGTTCTGAAATTATTAAAAAAACTACTTACAAGGAGCCATCTTCAAAGAGCTCAGCTCCTAGGCATTTTCGGACTAGATTAATTGTATTAAATCGTCTTAAAGTAATCTGAGGAATCTCCGGTTTTCGTTTGTCAGGAAAGTTTCTGGACACCCTGCATAATATATCATTGTATAACAATTGAAACTGGGTACTATAACAACTGACACCCTCGGTGAGCCCATTGTTACAGTTTGACTTGTCTGCTAAAATTACAATTATAAAAACACGTGAAAATTCTGTCATCATTATATTTTGCTTAAATATTACTTTATTGTATAGCTAATTTTTGCCAAAAAATTACAATTTTTGCGATAAGTCATTAAAAAGTTATATTAGTTTTGTTGTAACTATTGACACACCTCTCCCCTACATATATACACGTTAATGTGTCATACAATCAATATTATTTGGCGAACAACAGTCTCAAGAGTATTTTCCCTAAACCCAAAAAATGTGAAAACTTCCCACGGTTATTTTCTTTTCCTTAGCACGTAGCGACACATTAAGTTCAAAATAAGTTTCTTCCAATTTCTTATCATATATAAGCATTCGATCGTTGTTTCCCGAGGGACAGAAAAACTAAAAAAAAAAAGAATTTCGTGTCCCAGTTTCTGTTTTTTCTCTTAGTGATTAGATAATGCGACTGTTATCGGCCTTGTGAGAAAATAAAGCGAGTAAGAAGTTTTTTTCTTTATTTATTCACCATAGGCGGGACAGCTATGCATTGGATACATTTGGAGAAGATAAATTAAAGAAACAAATTAAACATATTAAATATAAACCAATGTGTCTTTATATTTTTTAAATTGAACCCGACTGCATAATTTGATTGGTGCTTCATGTTTTGCCATTTAATTTTTATACTTAATTTGATATTCGAAACCAATAATATATCACGATTAATCAGCCATTCGTTCTGCGGATGTATCGACATGCATTCACTTTGTTTTATTTTTTTTTTAAATAATATAAACCTTAACATAGCCACAAAAAAACAAAATAGTAAAATGTTTATTTCGAAATAAAACTATGCTAAATAATAAGCACACTGTTGTTTCTGTGTATGAAATAAAATATTTATTACCTCATCCTTTCTTGAATGAATCAAATGCTGCTGGCAAAAAGTGGGTTAGACTGTTTTTCAAACGCCATCCAGAACTTTTCCTCAGACCACCACAGAACTTGTCAATGGCTAGAGCTAAAGGATTCACAAAAGAAAATATTGAGTATTTCTCTATCCTGAAGCCTGAACTCGAGAAAATAAACTTTGACCCCTCAAAAATATTTAATGTAGGCGAAACAGAATAGTTTCGTAACAATAGTAGAGTAGTAACTTGTAAGGGAAAAAAAACAAATGCATAAACTTTCATCTGCTGAACTTAAATCCACAACCACAGTCATAATCTGTATGTCAGCAGCAGCCCAGTATATTCTACCCTTATTGATATTTCCACTTAAAAGGTGGCAGGAAGAATTGCTTAACGGAGCTTCTCCAGGGTCGATAGGCGGATGTTCAGATTCAGGTTGAGTAACTGGTCCATTGTTTTTTAAGTGGTTTAAACATTTCAGTTTCATTGTGAACCCATCAAAAGAGGATCTTGTTGTGCTTATCTTTGATGGTCACTATACCCACAATAGATATCTCGAACTTATTGACATTGCAAGAGAGTCAGGAGTATCTATAGTTTGCCTTTCGTCACAGTCAACAGACAAGCTACAGTCATTGGATGTATCGTTTATGTTTTCTTTGAAAACTAGATACGCAAAAGCTATAGAACAATGGTTGGCCAGTAACCGAAATAGAGTTGTCAGGAAACTGAAAATATCCAGTCTCTTTTATGAGGTGTATCTTCGTGCAGCTACTCTTGAAACGGCCGTCAATGGGTTTAGGAAGACTGGGATCCATCCATTTAATTCTGATGTCTTTCAGGAGCATGATTTTATTGCTAGACAACTTGAACAGCAAGATGTGCCTGCCAATGGACAGGATAATGACAACCAGAATGTTCTAGTCCCACCTCAAGTGGTCAGTCCACGAGACATAGAGAATGTTCCAGTTACAGAACCTTCCACATCTTCTAGAGCCGGTACTTCATTCTTGGTAACTAGATCTCTTACGAAACCTCTCTCAAAATCTCTTTACAAAAGAAACAAATGGCAGAAGAGAAGAGACACTCAAAGGCTAAAAAACGTCTCACTATGGAAGATAAAGAAAATCCTGGCACATCATTGAACAAACGTCTTAAGAAGAAAACAACGAAGTGGGATTTAAATTTAAGTGGCTGTGAGGACGAAACAGAAGTTCCACTGGTATCAACCGATGATGAGGAGAGTTCTAGTCATGAAGATGCACCTTGTGCCATTTGTGGAAAAAGTTTTTCACAAGACAAGCTAAGAGAAAAATGGATAAGGTGTTTGGAATGCTTCAAGTGGTGTCATGAGATGTGTTCAACTTCAACCAAGGTCAAAAATTTTGTTTGTGGTTTGTGTCTGGAGGTGTAAATAGATAGAACATGTATCAAAATGTATAAACATATTCCTATCTCAATAAATTTAATGTAACAGATATTAATACTGTTTAAATCATATTTTACAAAAAAATTATACATTTTAACTAGTAATGGATGGAAAGGGGGGGCGGAATTGGGATACCATTTTTAAAGAACCGAAATTTGCTTTATTTTGTTATTTATTTATTTTTAATTCAGGAAACTTTATTTAGTAGAATCGTACTAGCAAAACTCTTAGACATAGAGTTAAGTTACTTAAATCAGTTGTTTCCATTATCTTAACCTTAAATTAAATTTCCTGGGTCCCAGTAACAGAATAGATCTGTCCCAGTTCAGCACTCTGGCACTTCAAGTGGTTGGCCTTCAGTCAAAACGCTAGGGCCAGAGGAGTTGTTCCAAGATCAACACATTGCCCACCCGGATCAATTTGTTTTAAAATTCGTGGAAATGCAATTTTAATTTAAAGAAAATGGCCAATTTCTTAAGAGAAAAATCTAGGATATATCAATTGTTATTTTTTGATCAGATTTAAAGCAAAATTGGCCAAACAAGTTTTTAAATTAAACATAAGTGTAAAAAATGAACTTACAATTTTTCTGCAAGCAAAAAACCAATTTAATTTAACCTAACCTGTGAGATTTGTGAATGACACTCGGGTGATACAATTCATTAAGTCTGTCAAGTGTAGAAGTCCTAGATACAAGAACGTCTGCCACCGCCGTTTTCACTTCTTTGTTAAGACGGATTGCTCTGTTTTTATCTTCCTGGTTTCTTGTTCTTTTGGCTCTCTTTTTGGCTGTGTTTTTCCCTAATAATAGCTTTTGTTGTCTGGTTTTTTTTTAATATACAATAAAAAACAATTTTACAATAAAGTATAATATCAAATGAAAGTTAAATATTTTGTACAAACCAATAGTTGTTAACAAATAAACAAAGAAGACATTTCCTGATAAACCAGAGGTTGTGCTCAACATTTATTTACACTATTCAAATATTGTTCTGCAGTACCAGGTTGATAATATAAAATTACAAATTATAAAGAATAGTATTAGTTATGATGAAATTAATTAAAAAATATTGCATACAAAAATTTCTGATCCAGTGTTCTTTAGAAATTTTATAAAAGGAATGTATATTTTATAAATAATAATAAAATTCTATGAAATTATGAGACAATGATGGTTCGGTCCTTTTGCTTATAGTTTAATGTGGATTATTGTTTAAATTATGCACTATATGACAGTTTTTCTGAAAATATTCAGAAACGCTGTTTTTTGTACAAATGAGCAAAATATGCAAATTATGTTGCTTGTATAAATGCTCTTATCTAGTAATGGCGGTCCTAGTGGTCTAGGAACCTCTGAGTTCCTAGACCACCAGGATGGCGGTCGAAAGGTTAAAAATTGGAGATAGAAATTATTAGACTCGAGATAGGGTAAGCAAAATAAACTGGAACTTTTACGAGCGGCTATTCTTGGTTTGATTGAAGAGCTGGTTTGTGAGAAAAAGACTGAAAAGGGGACTGGAACGGGGTCACTAAAAAAAGAATTAAAGTTAGAATCTTTTTAAAGGAAATAATACTCTCGGTTTAGGGAGAAACATTACATGTTTGTTATTATTTCACCATAAACAGATACAAATACAAATAATAATAACATTTAAAAAACAAATTAGTGGCGGAGCGACATGTTATAGCGGATATAAATTATTACAAATAAAAAATATATTTTTAAATGGAACTTACTTACTGAGGTTAACCTTTCTAAACCAGAACAAAACACATCCAAAATTTCTGGTTAGGTATGTATCAAATGTTAAAAAAATAATGCTAACAGTCATATTTTAAGATTAAATACTATTAAAAATTTATAAGAATAATTGATATGACAGTAAATTGATATGAATATGACCCTAATATTTATAATTTTATCTAATAAAATTTTTTAACTTGCCATAAAAGCACTTACTGATGAAAAATATCTATTTTTACTTATTAAAAAATTTAAAAACAAAAAAATACCTAATTTCAACTGTATACTATATCTCATTTTTAAAAGTTTTGGGCTGAAACTGGTTTTCTAAACACTAAAAAATAACACACATGCATCTCACAAGCTGCAAAATGGTCTGAAATGCCAGGGACAACAAATAGACGAAGGAAGCTGAAGTTGGGCTGGATTATCGAGCCTCGGGTCAATTAACTGCAATCTCCAAAGCTTGGCTTTTCAAAACTTCATCGAAAATATGTGGACCCCTTATATCGTTGTAACACTTTACAAATCTTCCATTTAGGAGGTAAAAACTTTATGTTTTTTAAACAATGAAACATATAAAATCAGAATTTTGGTGTTTATTGAAGGTAAACTAAATGCACGAACAAATACTTACCATGTCGGTATAGTATTATGAGGTTATTTTCCTGGTTTTTTCCTCATAATTTACTATGGAATCACTAACAGGAGAATTTTACTGTCATCATGTCATGTGATTGTCTTTTTAAAGACGAATTACATGCTATGATTTTTTCTGGCGGATATTCTCAAGTTAAAGTTGATTTCATGTAATCGAATGAACTATCTTATAAGTAAAGTCGTCCCAGGAGCGCAACTCAACAATATTGGCAATATCATTTTAAAGTCGTCTACTTTAAAATGCATAATGTATGTCTGAATTGTGATTTCCGAAGTGGAAATTGAAACGTCAATAAACGTATTTTTATCTTTAATTGTGGCTTATTCCCAGTTAAATAGTAATTAATCAATTCCAGCGATGCAAAAGAATTGAAAATACTTTTTCGGTTTTTAACATATGCGATAAAAATAGAAATACATTGAAATACTCTTCGGTGTTTTAATACATATAGGTGTTTTTTGATAGATGCAAAAGAAAATACAAATCCTACAATATGAGAAAGAGAGATAAATAAAGAGAGTAAATGTGAGTGTTTTGTCTTATTTGGATTGAAGCTTCTTTCATAAGTGTTTATGGTGGTCTTATTTTACTGAAAATAATTTCTAAATTTATTTTGGTTTGACTTGTATTATCGACCTATAACTAAGATGACGATAGCTTTGGAGATAATCACGAATAATAAAGAGATACATACATACATACATAATAAAACTGTACGTCAATAATACATCACTTTCGGCTGCAGAAATAAAGTCCATTTACGAGGGAGAGACGGAAGACATAAATAATAGCCGACCTCAAAGCGATCCAGGTACTTCCTTTTCAAACTCAAATATCTCAATTTTACACCAAGATCCGGATAAATTCGAAGAAGTTACGGTACAGTCAGAAACTCTACACTCTAAAAATATTAATATCAGTTCCAAACACAAACCGACCCTCAGAACGAAATCAAACCAAAGTACAGCTGAACCAAATCCTAAGGAGAGTAAAACCCATATTGGACTCAGAAACAGAACCGGATCTACAGGAAAATAAATTTATAGCCTTTTGTTATTCCTTTTTACTTCTGTATTTGTACTTTTTTACCATTTATATTAGTTGGTGTTTATATTAATTGGTAACATATTAATGTATTGGTGTTTGTCTTTTACTTAACAATAATTATTCTAATCATATTTTAAATGAGAAACTAGTTTATAATTAATACTCCTTCGCATATATTTATACTGCTTCTTCTTAGTTGTAGCATTGATCTTTGATAGCTAATTTTGATTTTGTTTATTGTTTACGCAGACGTTTGCGTCGATATTCTCTTAACTATACCCTACTTTTGTACTCAGTCAGTATTGTACTAAGTCATTGTTACAAGATATTTGATATTTTTATTTTTTTCTTTTTCTCTGTTTTTTTTTAATTATGGATCAATATGTAAGAGATTTTGATTTGCCCACTGTTGATACATACACTGTAAAAAACTTTAGTGAATGTGATGATATCTTACGGGTAAACCAATTTAACAACAACTTTACTCTACTTCATAATAATATTAGAAGTATTTCCAAAAACTTAGATGAACTTAAGCTACATATAACTGATATTACTACAAGTTTTGATGTAATTGTTTTAACTGAAACATGGAAAATTAATGATATTAATTTGTTTAACATACCAGGCTATAACGCAATATATAATAAGGGAGAATTAAATCAAAATGACGGAGTTGTGGCATACATACGGTGCAAATATCTTTTCACCTACGATATCGTAAAATTAGGACCAACCAATATTTTAAAAATTAAATTAACTGTTGATAATAGCTATACAATTATGGTTTTTGCGTTTTATCGATCACCCTCTAAGGAAAACTATAATTCGAGTATTTCTGAATTTATTAATAATTTACAACATTTTTTACACAACAATGCTACCAATTCTGAAAGTTACTGTCTCTTTGTTGGAGATATTAACATTGACCTGTTGAATTTAAACGATGATACCATGGAATATACAAGTACTCTGAGTGAGTGCGGATTTACATCCATTATAAATAACCCAACTAGAATAACAGCTTGTTTAGATCATATATTTGTAAAATCAAAAACCAATAGCTTGGAGAATATTATTCCTCTAGTAATAGAAACTGACATAACAGATCACTTTGCAATAGCATTACAAATAGTTTTTAGCAAAAAAACAACTAAAAAGACAAATGACTATTATGCTAAACGAATCAACTACAAAAGGCTAATAGATATTAACTCTAAACAATCTTGGGACTTTATCCTAAAAAATAGTAGCCCGGATTTAGCAACAGATCAATTAATAACAGTTATCCAGCAAAATATCAACAAATGTACGTATTATGAAAAAAGGAAAAGGAAAAACACAAAAATTACACCGTGGATTACAAAAGCTTTAGTAAAATCCGCTAGTGAAAAAGATAGACTGTATCGACTAACGAAGCTTCATCCGAATGACCATGATTT